AAGAGTTTGTGTTAGAGCAAAGCCATGTTAAGGTATCTGCTGTGTCCACTGCAAGAGTTTGTGTTACAGCAAAGCCACGTTAAGGTATCTGCTGTGTCCACTGCAAGAGTTTGTGTTAGTGCAAAGCCATGTAAAGTTATCTGCTGTGTCCACTGCAAGAGTTTGTGTTAGAGCAAAGCCATGTTAAGCTATCTGCTGTGTCCACTGCAAGAGTTTGTGTTAGAGCAAAGCCATGTTATCTGCTGTGTCCACTGCAAGAGTTTGTGTTAGAGCAAAGCCATGTTAAGGTATCTACTGTGTCCACTGCAAGAGTTTATGTTAGAGCAAAGCCACATTAAGTTATTTGCTGTGTCCACTGCAAGAGTTTGTGTTAAAGCAAAGCCATGTTAAGTTATCTGCTGTGTCCACTGCAAGAGTTTGTGTTAGAGCAAAGCCACATTAAGTTATTTGCTGTGTCCACTGCAAGAGTTTGTGTTAAAGCAAACTCTTTGTTAAGTTATCTGCTGTGTCCACTGCTTTGTGTTAGAGCAAAACCATGATAGGTTATCTGCTGTGTCCACTGCAAGAGTTTCTGTTAGAACAAAGCCACGTTATCTGCTGTGTCCACTCCAAGAGTTTGTGTTAGAGCAAAGCCATTTTAAGTTATCTGCTGTGTCCACTCCAAGAGTTTGTGTTAGAGCAAAGCCATGTTAAGGTATCTACTGTGTCCACTGCAAGAGTTTGTGTTAGAGCAAAGCCATGTTATCTGCTGTGTCCACTGCAAGAGTTTGTGTTAGAGCAAATCCACATTAAGTTATTTGCTGTGTCCACTGCAAGAGTTTGTGTTAAAGCAAAGCCACGACTTGCAGGGTATATACGTGTATATATATGATATAACATCCATATACAGACTTGGAGGGTATATACGTGTATATATGATATAACGTCCATATACAGACCTGGAGAGTATATACATGTATTTATGATATAACGTCCATATACAGAGTTGGAGGGTATATATGTGTATATACGATATAATTTCCACATACAGACTTACCGATACACGCAGTGTGCTGCAGTTGCCACCCATTTCTTGTGAATTAGAGCTCCTCCACATGATATTCGTTTAGAAAGATAACTTTTCTTCAAAACTGCTACCTGTTGGAAGATGTTTTTATAAAACCTGACAATAAACAACTTACAAATATTTTTTATATCTTGTCTACCCAAAAGATGGGTGAAGAATTTGGAAATTTAACAACAAAGAGTGTATATGGACGTTATATCATATATACATGTATATACTCTCCAGGTCTGTATATGGACGTTATATCATATATACACGTATATACCCTCCAAGTCTGTATATGAACGTTATATCATATATATACCCTCCAAATCTGTATATGGAAGTTATATTGTATATACCTCCAAGTCTGTATATGGACGTTATATCATATATATACGTATATAACCTCCAAGTCTGTATATGGACGTTATATCATATATATATACCCTCCAAATCTGTATATGGACGTTATATCATATATATATGTATATACCCTCCAAGTCTGTATATGGACGTTATATCATATATATATATGTATATACCCTCCAAGTCTGTATATGTATGTTATATCATATATACACATATACATTGCCTTGCACCTTTGTAAGTACCTTGACTTTGGTTTTTTATCTAATTAACTTCTTGTCAAAAGACATGGGTGCTAGCCTACTGAAGTTATTAAACTGTTAAGAACTTATTCAAAGACCCCATTCTTCAGTACTTGACACGACCTTGAGTTATACCTGCACTATTTGTCCTAATTTAGAAGTGACAGACTAGGTGGAGGATAGCCAGTCAACACCACCCACTACCAACTATTGGGCTACTCTTTACCAACTAATAGATGGAGTTGTTGTCACGTCATAAAGCCCCCTCAATAGAAAGGACGAGTAGGCCCCCAAGGTTACTTGTATAGCAGATACTGACTCTCCACAACACACAAAAGTTCAAGACCACATTTTACAAAATATCCCATAATGCCCTTATGAACAATAACTTGTGACTGTGGCAAAGTGTTATGATGTATATTATAGGGTAGGTAAAATATACATGGCCTGATAAACTTGATTCTTGGAAATTCTATTGTTATAAGGTGGAAAAATCCTAGACACATTTGATATTTTACTAAACATGCCACGCGTTAAACCTTAGTTTGGTTTATGAAAGTTGATATTCTTTAGAAATAGTAAAATTCTGGTACTTCTCACATCTAACAGATCTTTATACAACCTCTGTAGTTGTGTGTTCTAATGTAAAAAAAATAAGACTAAAACTGCCAGCACTATGTTTACAGATTGTATGAAAGATTTTTAATTCTGTAAAATATGTATGTTATTATCTTCCACATGGTTGGATGTGTGTGTTGAAAAAACTCTTATTTACAAAACATTATCTGAATCATTCACAGTATATCCAGAAAAAGCTTTAAAGACAAAACAGAAACCACAAAGAAACAGGATCTGTTTTGTTTTATAGAAAAGTTCTACATAAATAGAAACTTCAGTGTTTATATTGAATCCACTCAAGCACAGATTTTGTTATGGTAAAAATACGAGCTTAACCTCTGTTAGTTCAGTGCCATAACATGTATAGTTGGTGTGTTATGATAAAGATACAACCTTAACCTCTGTTATTTCAGTGCTGCAACACGTATACTTGGTATCCGGGTTGGTGAGTATGACATCAGGACTACAAATGAGAAGCTACAACATGATGAGTATAATGTCAGAAGAAAGATAATTTATTCAGGTTATAATCCTGGAAACTTCCTGGGAGACATTGCCCTTCTCGAGCTCACAGAGCCAGTGAAACTCCAACGTCATATAGTTCCAGTGTGTCTACCACAGGCCGAACAGGAGTTCACAGGAAGTTTAGGAACAGTCACAGGCTGGGGCCGAACAAAACATGGTAAGTCTCCAATCTTATATAGTTCCAGTGTGTCTACCACAGGCTGAACAGGAGTTCACAGGAAGTTTAGGAACAGTCACAGGCTGGGGCTGAACGAAACATGGTAAGTCTCCAACGTCATATAGTTCCAGTGTGTCGGCCACAGGCTGAACAGTTCACAGGAAGTTTAGGAACAGTCACAGGCTGGGGCTGAACGAAACATGGTAAGTCTCCAACGTCATGTAGTTAGCCTGTGACTGTTCCTAAGCTTTCTGTGGTAGACACACTAGAACTACATGACGTTGGAGACTTACCATGTTTCGTTCAGCCCCAGCCTGTGACTGTTCCTAAACTTCCTGTGGCAGACACACTAGGGTGCCATCTGAGACATGGTAAGTTTTATTCTTATGATGTTCCTTTGCTTCAGAATGGAATGGAAATCACAGAGCACTCAGATACAGTGGAATTCTGGTTCACTTAGACTGGTATCGTGTCCTCTAATACACTGGTTCCACAGAAACATCCAATAAATAAGTAAAGGTGAAAGATTTGAGTTAGTGAAATTTCTGTTTCATTTGTAAATGTGTTTCCTTTTTACTTCTAGTTATAATTTTTGAATAGAAGTATTTCTGATATTGTTTCCTGTTTTTAACAATGGATTTCCAACATATTTGGAAAAAACTGTTATATTTTATGATGACCTTTCTAGAATCTTAATGAAAGTGTGATGCAGCTATTAGTTATATGTAATCAGAGATTTAGTTTAATTCTAAATTATCTTGCTGTATCTAATCAGAAGTTAGAACTGTTCATGGTCTCAGTTTTATTCTAAACTATCTTGCTGTATCTAATCAGAAGTTAGAACTGTTCAAGGTATTAGTTTTATTCTAAACTATCTTGCTGTATCTAATCAGAAGTTAGAACTGTTCGAGGTATTAGTTTTATTCTATACTATCCTGCTGTATCTAATCAGAAGTTAGAACTGATCAAAGTTCTGGATACTTTTATACCAGCTCCGTTATATAGATGTTTGATGCTTCACTAATGTTTTATTTCACGTAGTTCTTTTTATCACACCTCATTTTTTAAATCAAGAACCGGTTCTTATGTCAGAAATATGTAGAAAAATTTAACTTAATATATCTGTTTATGAAACATTGCTTTCTAACTTAATACTGAGCTTTTATGGCTTCACCAACCTGAGGAAGAATTTGAAGGAAACGTTTTTTGTTTGTTTTTGAATTTCGCGTAAAGCTACACGAGGGCTATCTGCTCTAGCCGTCCCTAATTTAGCAGTGTAAGACTAGAGGGAAGGCAGCTAGTCATCACCACCAACTCTTTTACCAACGAATAGTGGGATTGACCATCACATTATAACGCCCTTACGGCTGAAAGGGCAAGAATGTTTGGTGTGACGGGGATTCGAACCCGTGACCCTCACATTGCGAGTTGAGCGCCCTAACCACCTGGGCCACATTTTTTGTTTCTGATTCAAGGCTGTCACAGTTTTATATTGTATTAACTCACATTTACATTGGGTTTTTGAACATGCAACAATAACTGATGACAGTAATTTGGTAGGAGTTCGAGCTGTTCCCAGTAAACTCCAAAAAGCAGTGGTGGAGATTATGGATAGTAAAAAATGTCAGCAGTGGTACAAGAGTGTAGGAAGAAGAGAAAAGATCTATCAAGAGATGGTATGTGCTGGTTACAAACACGGTGGAAAGGATGCTTGCCAGGTAAGTGTTTAACGATCATCACCGCACATGATTTATAAAAAATTCCACAACATAAGTACACATGTGACAATTGTAATTTTATACAATAAATAACCCTACATATAACTTTTAGTTAACCTGTGAACTTTCAGATATTTAATGCCATTTACCTGATCCATATTTTGTTTTTTTCTTTGAGGCACTATCATGTGTAACTTTTAGTACTCAACTGAAAGCACGCTAGTTAAAAAAACCATAATTATACAGATATACTAACTAATTCTACTTGTTATTCCAGGGTGATTCAGGTGGTCCACTAACAGTTAAAACCAACGGGAGGTACACACTGGTAGGAATTGTTTCGTGGGGAGTGGGATGTGGCCGAGCAAACCTTCCAGGTGTTTACACTAAAGTTTCTTCATTTATGACGTGGATCAAAACTTATGTTAATTGATCAAACCTCAGTTTCTAGTGTCCTTGCTATTTCATAAATTCAAATTAATAATCAATGATATTACCACCAACTAGTACGTAGTTCTCTGAAGTTTGTAGTCCAATGTATTTTATCAAAATGCATTTTCTTAGAATCAACCAGTTTTTTACTTACTGTAATTCACTGTCTTGTGACATCAATTTACGTATTTTTAAAGTTAATATTTTTGTACATTTATTATATTCCGATACTATTTACATTAATTGAATAAATTTTAAATGCTACATCTACTGAATAAACACATAACTTGTGGAAATGTTTCATATTAATCAGTTCAAATGTGGTGGTGAAGTTGCAAACTACTGAATAACAAAACTATTTTAAGAAATGTTACTCTTAGTAGACATAGTCCAAGATTAGAAGTACGTCTACTTTGTAATAAAATAGTCTAACATTTATCACATTAGAGAATTGAAAATTTCAGTGTTTTTAGCCCATCATCTTTTGTACAATTTTATGGTTATTTAAAGGATATCCATGTAGTTATTTTTTTTTAATTCTCATATACTTAGAAATGTTTCTGTAGCTGGAATTTCATCTTGTTCTCGAACAACTTTAACAAAATGTTTGTATGTAAATATATATTTATGTAAAAAATTATATCTGATAGAAATTTTCTCATGTGTAACATATACATAAAATGTTTCAAAGTTACAGTTTGTAAACATGAGTCAGTACATCGAGAAGGGAAATCTGCCGAGTGTTGATTAGTTAAAAAACATACATTAACCAGTCAAAAGGTCATGTTAAAGTTTATTTTGTCTACATGATGAAACATGTTACACATTTGTTTAACTGTATATAAACTAAGCTTACTTGTCTTTATGTTGATCTGTTTAATTTCTTAACTCAGATTTATGTGCCAAAATGCCACTAATATTTTGTACACAATGCTAATTCATAGTCAATAAATGAATCATGAAAACATTTTTGCTTATGACTTTTATGTCCAACATCATAACACTAACTCATTGAATTAATAAACTTACATTTTATTTTTCACACACAAAAAAAATTTATCTAAAACAAAGATTGTATTACATGTTTTAGAATCTAAAAATCTTAAAAAAAAGGTTTAAGTAGAGATACAGAATTTACACTATATCTAAGATGTATGTAGTGCCATTACGAAATAAAAAATTTACACTATAGTTAAGATGTATGTAGTGCCATTACGAAATAAAAAAGTACCAAATTTGCATCTATCTACCAAACATCCAACTACTGCAAGGAGAAGAATCTTGTCTCCAAGAAATTGATTGATACTTGCCTATTGGTGCCTTTATGTGTTTGTCTGTTTTAAGGCAAAGCAGTCATCCCTAATTTTGAACTGCTGATCACAGGGAGGGCAACTGACCAGTAGGACCCACTGCCTACTCTTGGGCAACTCTTCACCAATGACCATCACATTATAATGCCACCATGGCTGAAACGACAAGCATGTTTGATGTCAGATTTGGATCCTGTGCCGTGCCCTGCAGAACGTGACTCGTGCACCCTAACCACCAGGCAAAAAAATCTATTTATACTACCCATAGCTAGAAGTCTGAAAGAAAGGTCAAACAACTGTAGACCTCACTCCCATTCGTGCTTACTAACAGTGTATCATAACATTTGAGATAAGCTGAATTCTAGTGTATACGTAACAAACTCACTATTGCAAAATGTTGGGAGGTACGTCAACAAAATACTGATAAAATTAAAGTATTAAAAAAACATTTAAAATAATACGATATTGTGGTACTGCAGAAACATGTAATACAGATTTTAATTATTCAATGTTACACTATAAAAATATACTTTGGAAGATCAGTAGCAGAAAGGTGTAACAAAAAATTTTGGTTTCATCCTTATGGATTTGTACTGTTTGCACATCAGCCAATGATTATCAGATTAAATGTTTTGTTCAGAAAACAATCCAAACATTTGTAAGAGAAATTCATTAAGAGCTTAAAGGACTTGAAGTGTTGCAAATATAAGAAATATTAAATGTAAAGATAGAACAGGCAATTTAGCTGCTGTCACTTAAAAACATGCATATTATTGGTATGTTTATAATTTTCAACTTTTGCCTGTGTCTTAGGGAAGAAAGTAACTAACAATGTCAAGTTGTCGTACAAACAGTCACACCTCCATGTGGCCACCATTGCAACTAAGGCAGAGGTCATAGTGATAGAACACTCGCATAAATTTTCAAACTTGGCATGGTGTATTTCACACATCTTGATTTCTCCTCTTTGGACATTTAGTTATCGTTGGCTAGACTGACAAGAACCTCAAATCTATTAGTTACAATTATACAAAGTTTTGGCATCTTTACTTTCCTACTTTTTGATTAATGGCATTTTATTTTTTTAATGAATAATTTTGGGTAAACTTCACAGTAAACCTCATGCACTTCTATGTTCTAGTACAAACAAAAGCATGATAGAATAATATTACCAACCTTGTATAAAAAAATTCGAAATTAATTAAGGATTACAAGTAATTATAGAAATGAAGAAGCACATAGAAAACAAACAAAAACATTTCATCAAAGCCCAAAAAATGTGAATGCCTCTATGAATGTTGAAGGACTTCTATGATAAACATTCAATGGCACAAAAGAAAAGTTACTTTATATACAGAAACAGCATACTATTCTTGCTAAAACGAGTCTCTCCATATGTTCATTGAATAAAAGTTGTATATATTATGAAGTTACAAGCATTACAGCAGAATCATCATCAAGAAAAGTATTTAAATGTTCATATTTTGATCAGCCAAGTAAGTACATCCGGTTAGTAAAAGTACTGCTTTGTTAAAAAATTGCTCAAGTCACTGCTACGATCTCTATTTTCATTTCAATGATTGTACTTTACATCACTTCAACATTCCCAGAATTTGATCAAATGATGATAAATAAAATGTCATCAATTAGGAGAATATGAAACAAGCTCTTCTTCGCTGTCTTCATCTTCAGTGATCATTCCCGAGAGACCAGCATAAAAAGAATCCGAATCGTATTCCAAAATTTCTTGATCACTTAGATGAGATTCGCCCTCAATAAATCTTGCAAATCTGTTGAAGAAATTAAAAAATATATAATAACACTGCGTATTTCCATGTATTAAATAATGTTCTTTTCTGAAAGCAAAGGTGAAATTAGAGTTAAAACCCAACAAACTATCACAACTGCCTTTCTCACAGGCAACAAAATAACCACCAATAAGTACTTTTTTATGTTGCTTTTATTAATTTGTTTTGTAGGCACTAATGTAATACTGAAGCATTATCCTATACAGAAGTTATTGTTGTTTTTTTTTTGTCAATGAGAGGATTACCTGACAGGATCCTTCAGTCTGCAGGTTAATTTCCAAGCACTACAATTGGGACTTTCACAGTAAGCACGTAATGCTTCTAAAGCCTTCCGTGTCTCTTCATTGGCTTGTTGAATGTATTCAGCTTCAGTTAATAATTTCACTTTGGGAGGAAACTTATGCCGCCTAAAATGCAATAAAAATAATTACTTCTTTGTAAGTTTTTGTTTTAAAAATTTCCAAACTTTTTATGTGAAACTCAGAAAAATATTCTATAATTAACAGTATATCAAATCTTTGGATTAGTTCCAGCTTCTTCCAATTGGATAAAATACGTTTTCAAAAGGAAACAAAACATATTTTGCAAGGGTATTTTTTTTAATTTACCTTATTTTAAGAAGTTAAAACTGGACCAAGATTATTCTTTCACAGATTAGGTGGTTTTTATCATTACAATTCCAACGAGTTAGAAATATCTTCATCAGTTTTCTGATGAATTTGAAAAAATTATTCTTCACTGCTTTGTTTAATTCCCGAACGTTTTCGTACGGTCTTTATGATGTTAAAAATTATCTTATAGATTTCTCTCATACAAGTGGAAATAATATCACCAACCAAATCGTTTTAGCTTGGCTATCCATGATTTTGGAATGTTGTAGAAAACAAGAACAACAATAATAATAGCCGTGCTTGCTTCTCTTAGCTCAGAACTATAGAAGATGGACATCAGAGCTACCAACTGAAAATAATAAAAAATTATTAAGTTAAGACAGCACTCATCCCAGTTGTAAATGTAATATAATCTACAATATTTACGAGCTTGATGTTCTTTCATAAACAAGACATAATGTATTTCAATATTCATTAAAACACACATTAGTTCTATGTTCGTAACTCTGCCAAGAAGTATCGGACACACGACAACTACACTGATGTGTTTTATGTAGAATTCCAAGTAATGAAACCCATATTACATAAACAAGACATAATGTATTTCAATATTCATTAAAACACACATTAGTTCTATGTTCGTAACTCTGCCAAGAAGTATCGGACACACGACAACTACACTGATGTGTTTTATGTAGAATTCCGAGTAATGAAACCCATATTACATAAACAAGACATAATGTATTTCAATATTCATTAAAACACACATTAGTTCTATGTTCGTAACTCTGCCAAGAAGTATCGGACACACGACAACTATATTGATGTGTTTTATGTAGAATTCCAAGTAATGAAACCCATATTACATAAACAAGATATATTTTTTCAATATAGTATTATATTTATATATAATGGTTGTTCTTTCAATGGACTTCCTGGTGGCTGATGAGTCAAACTGTTAAAAACATTTGCCAAATATGAGTTCTGAGTAAACACCAGTGGCTTGTTGTTTTTGTTTCTGCATTCCTAGTCTGAAGCTACTGGTAACACATTTCTTGAACTATAAATCTCCTGAACATACATTTTTATGCCAAAATCACAAATACTAAACCTATCTCTAATCATCATTAAACAAACCAAACTTTTTTCCTTGCATGTAGCAGCATTTTGGATCATAGCTATTTATTTAGAATTAGTAGGCCAAGAAAAAGATAATCTATACAATTTTTTAATGTTAAACTAAATTTAGAAACTGATGAAATACTAGTAACAATATTTCTTTTAGGCCCAACTTTAAAATTAGAAACATTTCCACAATTAGAAACTACAAAGTCAAGGACTGGCTGTGAAGAAGAAGAATACTCTTCCCAAACAATCACTGTCCCTTGTCTGGAATATAACTTTCTTTCTTTTAATGTGAATAACAATTTTAAATAATTAACACGTATTATTATTATTTTGGCATATCACAAGTCTGATTAAAAATTTACTAACATTTTGTTATAGAACGAGCATATTGATGTATGTTGCAAGGAATACTAGGGATTACAGTTACTGACTGCTCAATTTTAGTTGGTAAAATAATATTCCTAAATAGAATGTCACACACAATAATTTGATGAATGAAAACTGTATTATACTCTTACAACTAAAATAATGTCCATAAAATAGTTTCAACCCGAACAAGCCAGTGTAATAGTTCTAATTAAAACCTCTCACAGAATAAGTAGAGGGTCTTGTATTGAGGCACAAAAAGTACATACATTCAGAATGTTGGTTTAAAACATCAGATAAGAACGCAGCTTGTACCTGTATCGTCCACTGAATGAGGTTTAAACTCCTGTAATCAGTCACTGGTCCGTACCTGTAGCAGGCAGCAAAACTAATCAGACTAGCAACTGTAACGTAACCCAACAAGAAAACGTGGTACTTCTGAGTGATGTCACGAATGTTATCCCAGACCAGTTGTAGACTATAGAGTACGAGGGACCATCCGAAAAGCATGACAGTATAGGCTCCAGCTTTCTAGAGAATATCACTAAGATCCTCAGTTCCACACAAAGTAAACAACAAAAATACGATGTAGAATTCATCTTTTTTATCATCTTTACTACAACATAAATGTAAATGAGTGTAGAATTCAGTTTTTCAGAAGATGTTTAGTTTAACACAAATATCACCAAGTAAACAACAATAAAGATAAAAAAGTGGTGCAGTTTTTTACAAAGTTTCAGTAAAATATTTACTATAACAAAAAGATCATTATGAGAAGAAGATAAAGATACTTTGTATAAAATATAGTTAAAAAAGTTATAATTTATAACCTTAATATTCCATAAAACATAATTGATGTATATATTTACACCAAAAAGGAGATGACACATTTTCTAATTCTTATCCTTGTATATCTGGCTACATGCTAGAAATATAATAATACAGGTTGGTTATAAAGTCAGTATGTGAAGTTAGCAGTCTTTAACATCCTGGAAAAAATTTTGCTGGCATGTATAAGGAACCACAGGTGGTACATTGATCTAACGCAAAAACTCAGTGCTGAGACTATCATTTTGGTCTATTATTACAACAGCATTATAGCATGTAACATCTCACAGGAATAAAGTAATTACAGCATGTAATATCTCACAGGAATCAATGATATTACAGCATGTAAAATCTCACAGGAATCAACAATATTACAGCATGTAACATTTCACAGGAATCAACAATATTACAGCATGTAAAATCTCACAGGAATCAATGATATTACAGCACGTAAAATCTCACAGGAATCAACAATATTACAGCATGTAAAATCTCACATGAATCAATGAGACTGGCACTTATTTTTATGTGTTTTTCTGACTTCATAAAGTATTCCTTATGTCCTGTATTTATACATTTGTAAGGTCACTGGTTTCTTCCTTTATATTCAGCATGAAATGTTTAATTTTACTTAACCAAGAGATATGTGCTTTAAACACATTCTTACCTTTGGTACAAATCGGCTCAGAACAAAAACGATAATTAGAAGAGAAGCAACGACCCCAAAAGACACTCCTGTTGCGTAGAAGAAAAATACATTCCTTTGAAAGAAACAACCATACATTTATGTAAATCTTGAGACGAAAGAACAAATGATTAATTCCTTAGCGTAAATGCTACACTTAAAAACTGCCACACACAGTTTATATAATGTTCTTAGAACACTATTAAGTGTTCAAGTTACACAAACAGTAAGTTGACTTCTACTCTATACAAATAAACACAAACTGAATGGTAGAAAAAAAAAACCACACACCTAACCATATAATTATTTACGTCAAACTTCTCTTAAGAAGATCTACGAACATTCACACCTTTACTTGCTTCGTTACTTTTATCATATCTGGTTTTCAGATGTAGCAATTGTTATTCCTTTTAAGAAAACTCTGGTAAATCACTTAATGTGCCTACCTGCTGAATGATGGTGCAGAGAAGAAGACAAACAGTCCACCTACTAACTGCAGAACCCTCCAGTAATTCACATCTAAAACAACATAAATTAATAAATACAAACCACCAAGTTACAAACACAAACAGTCCACCTACTAACTGCAGTACCCTCCAGTAATTCACATCTAAAACAACATTAAATTAATAAATACAAACCACCAAGTTACAAACACAGTCTGTCACCTACTAACTACAGTACCCTCCAGTAATTAACATCTAAAACACCACAAATTAATAAATATAAACCACCAAGTTACAAACACAAACAGTCCACCTACTAACTGCAGTACCCTCCAGTAATTCACATCTAAAACAACATAAATTAATAAATACAAACCACCAAGTTACAAACACAAACAGTCCACCTACTAACTACAGTAACCTCCAGTAATTTCACATCTAGAACAACATAAATTAATAAATACAAACCACCAAGTTACAAACACAAACAGTCCACCAACTAACTACAGTATCCTTAACATTGTACTTAAAAACTGCACTTCTACAAAACCTATACAACTTTCAGAAATCACATTTCAATAGTCCTAAATATCAGTTTAGTATTTCTATTATCACCAAAACAAACTGTGAGAAATTATTTGAAATCATTTGCAGAAAAAAACATAAATAAAGTAAACTGCTAAATTAATTAGTTACAAAAAAACAATGTAAAATTATACACATTTGAAACTTAATGAAATATAAATATTAAGACACGTACATCGAACAAATAGTTGGAGTTCGTATTCGTCTTTAGTAGCTATACCAAAACAGTAAGAATCGAAAGCAGGCAAAGTGATAAAAGTTTGTCGCCATGGTAACAGAGGTAGCCAACTGCCCCGCTGTTCTTTGTACAATCTAACCACCTCACTCTGGTTCTCGGCTAGCAAAAGTAAATAGTTATCCGGGATGACTTTTAACTCGACCTGGATGAACAAAGTGGTGTACGTTAATAACACAGAACCATATACACACACACACAATTATAAATCTACAGTACTGGTAAAAAGGTTCGAGCTCACTTACATTTTCTGCTATTATCATCTATCCTTGCAAGATAAAATTGTTGTTTTTTAATTTTTAAATAATATTTTGTACTTTTTTATTTTCTATTAATATGTTTTGTACCAGGTCCCATGCTACATTTGATGATTGTCTCACAATACTTAGACATCGATGTCAACAACATGTTTACAGCTGAGATTGTGGTTCATTTCTGCATCAGTTGTTGCAGAGTGTTTGGTTCTGTCCGACCACAAGCACTTTCAGCTGTTGCCACAACTTTTCAATCATATTGAGAACTGGACATAGAGAAGGTCATTTCACTATTCTTACTGTCCCACCTTTATCTTGTTACTCCAAGAACTTTTTATTGGTTCAACCCCCATCCATTAGATAGAGAAAACATGGCAAGACAGATAAGGATGTTGTGGTATCTTTCTTTCTTCACAATTCCTTCAATTTTCAATACATTTCCAGTAGACGAAGAAGAAAACACCTCCAAGCCATTACTGGACTTCCAACATGTGTCTCCAATTTGATTCCTTTGTCTTATTCACAGTCCAGTTTCAATGATCTTTTACAAAAACCAGCCTTTTTTGCCGTGTTTTTTGTGATACATTAGTTTTTTAACTGCTGTTTTTTTTCTCCAAGGCACCTGAAAATGGTTCTGGAACTGAAAAAAAAATGCAATTTTCATCAAAAATGTGGTTATTGAATTCAAAAATAGTTTTGAAGCCGTTAAAGGTTGAAATCCTTTTAATAACATTGTTTTCCTTGGATGATCTTTCTTGCAGTTGCTTTCAACTGTCCTCTTGTAGCACAATATTCCAATTTCATCGTATTATACCTCGTGAAATGTCAATTTTGCCCTGCATGGTCTTCACTTTTCAATTCACAGATTTTTTTGGCATTCTTGTTTTTAAAATTAATAACTTAAAGGAACTGAAGAAATCAGATTATTTTAGCATATAAAGTCTGAAACAAGAAAAATATGTCGGTAATCCCTCAAACAAAGCAATTACAGTCAAATGAGAAAAAGATGCCAGAGTCAAACTATAGATCTCATTAGACACCAAACTTGTACCATATATTATAATTACTGGAATATTGTAAGTTACATCAGAGACACATTTGCCTTATTACTTGATGATGTTGAGGGTTTACTTAATTACAAATTTTTCATTCCTGAACTCGAACTTTTGGCCAGTACTGTATAAGAATTTAAAGAGACAAACTGACATTAGATATATCTGTGTAACATTTTCGATAATATACAAAATAATAGTGGTGCTGACATTCATAAAAATTTCAACTACAAAACAAATAAACTATTTTTTTAACTGACAGATAAACACAAAACACAATTAACACTTTGCTTTTATTGATTGTTTTATATCTCGGTGTTGCTTGCGTACACAATCTCTTTTTTTTAACTTTAATTGCTTAAATACGTTTTTTTTTTCAGTAATTTGTATTTGAAACACATTTTAAGTTCATTCAAAATTTATAGAAATTCAAGTAAAAAATATATATACACTTTTTAGAATAGAAAGTTTTTAAAAATCTTGTCTGCTGGTAATTCGCCGACAAACAAAACATACTAGTTCATCAAAAGAACTAGGTAATTATCTCTAACATCAATTATTGTAATATAAAATAAGTATGCATCAAAATCATGAGTAAATCAATTAAAGTCGCAAAAATAGCCAACTAATTAAAATTAATGTTTCAAATTATTACTGCTTTTAACTAACCAAATAATCAAAATACCACCATTGATTTCTTATTATTATTATTTTTGATAAATTCAAGGTTTTTCAGCAACTTAATTGCTTAGTGTCACAATTCAAAAAAATAACGAATTAGTTATGTAATTATTCCAACTACCCAAGTCCCGCATGAGAATAATTAACAGGTTGAGTGCAATCAATTAATGGGCATGACAAATGATTGATTATAGCTCTATTCACAAACCTAGTAATCACTGTTTAACTAGAACTAAGATTTTTTACATCGGTAGTGCATTAAAACTCTGCAGTTCATTGTACTTTTAAAAAATCATTAAAGTGTTAAACTAATTGCTCCACAATACCTGATCAAAATATGATAAAACAAACTTACATAAACACTTTTCCAAAGAGCATACAAAAGCCTACTTCCCGCAGGATAACAATAAACATCCAGCTCGTTTATGGGGCCTTTTAGAGACTTTCCTTCTTTAAGTTCTCGTACCACGTAATCTGAAAGCACAAAGAAAAACAACACCAGTACTTTAAACTTTATAAATGATTATAATATACTTGTACTTTCTAAACTGAAGGCAGAATTTTTTATATATATACTGCAAAAATAAAGGTCATACAGAGAGGATAGATTAACTAATTTCATTTTGGCCATACTTCGAACTACAATATAAACATTTCCAGGAAACATCAACAGTGAGTTTTAAGCTATGTATATGTTAACTTCTTGACAAACTATCTTGCTTTTACCATTAAACAAGAAAACAATACAATAACTTTAATTAATTTTGTCTTTTATTTAAATAAATATCCTAAAGTTACTGAAACTAACACTAAGAAAAAGAAAATGTACTGATAACCGTTTATTAAAATACTTACTTTAATACCCACAGAAAGTGGAACCATACACATGAAAGTTTTATATAATTAAAGGTATAACACATTAACACCATTCTTAAAAAAATTACATAACACTTTTGTTACCCACAAGACACAAACTGTTACTTATTGGTAACAAAAAGATAACATAACATTTTGGGAGAACATGGGACCTATTGGTCTGTCTTGGCTGTTCCATCCTCTAAACTAAATTAAAATAATTAATAAAAAAACAAATATTAAAGCCAGTCCTTATCATTCATATACTTATCAAGCCTTTTCTTAAACTCATTTAAATTTACCACCTGCATAGATTAAACACATTTGTCACCTTTTATATTTCAGCTATTGTATAATAAGAGTATAACTGGAAACTATTGACAAAGATGCATTATAGATATTTGATGTATAAAAATCATGGACTGTATCTCTTATAATAAGTCACATTTTATGACATTTATGAAATAATAAGTCACATTTACAACAGACATTTATACTGCATCTTTGTCATTGCAAATGAAAAAGTTATTTATTAATAACTTCTGAGTGAAAGTAATAAAATAATATGTAAACCATACTATAGTTGCTATATCCAGTGCCAACAAGACCTTTTGCCCAATATCAGGACTCTTCAGATTGGCTTGGATGCCACAGATACAGTGGTGTTTGACACAATATTTAGGTTAGCAAAATGCTTCACAACAACCGAGCTGTGAACTGGATTATGCAAAATGTACTGAGTGCATTTTTTTAGATTATTTTTATCAATAATTGCATTAAATATTTAATTTTTACAACATTAGTATAAACAAAAAATGATGTCATCCATGGAAGGCTTAAATCTTATCTTATCTTTAAAAATTTGAGACATGCAATAATGCAAAAAAACATATTCTATAATGTATAAACGTCAAACTATGAGAAGCTAGAACAAAAAAAAAAAAAAATGAAGGAAAATCTTGTGAATGTGAGAAAATGAGAATTTAATACAATTTTCTCAAGCAACTTGATCAGGAGTTGATGTTGTCACTTCAAATACAACTGTTTGAACTTTGAAGTAACCAGTTTGGCACTACTGAAGCCAGGATTAAACGATCTCTGATGAAACTTTGAATTCTGAAAATGAAGTATATACTACGTAAAATTAATATACTTATAAGTTATATAACTACGGCTAAGCTTACTATATCTAGTGCTACGAGTCTGACTCGTATGCGTATGACCGAGGCTCAAGTGAAGTTGTGTTAGAGCAGCAGAGTTCATTTACTCAGTTACTGTTTAAATAATTATAATATACTTTAATTTTAAAAGGTAAAACTATATAAAAGTTAATTAAAACTTAAAAAATGTTGTATCACCTATATCAGTGTTACTATTGTCTAAACAACTGCAGACTGTCAGAAACAATACAGCTGAAAGCAATATGGAGAAATTAAAAGTAAAGGTATAATTCATTTTCGAAATTTGTTAAAAGAAACAACTATAAAACAAGAACATTAAATTACTATTAATATTTATATTACGTAAACTCATCAACATGTCCAACTCTAACCATGCCGCGCTTTAAATATTAGGGCGACCTCTGTGAGATTACATAGTTTGATAAAAAGACACAAAAATAAATTAAATAATTATTAACAATATAGCTTCCAACACATGTTTCGAGATCACACAGAAGTGGAAACTTACTCACACACACACGCGTGATATAAAAGAAAAACAGCTAATAGTTACTATAAATTATAACTCAGTTAAAAAGCGTAAATGTGTAATTAATTAATATTAAATTCTCATTATACCCGGTTGTTGCGGTACGTTTACGGATTTATAAGCTAAAATCCGGAGCTTAGTCATCACGATAGACAGAGGACATATATAGTTACCCATACTTTTAACTAAACAACAACTACAATTTTTGAACAAAGCAAGCTACCTACGCAGATTAGAACTAAAAATAATAAATCTGGTAGCGAATATAGTTGATTTAACATACTGCTCAATGCTCATAACGTTCTTTGTCCTTAGAACAAGAAAAAGTTCCAATCAGGTAGTGTTATTATATTGTTGCGTCAGCGAGTCACGTGACTACTATGATGCAACGTTTCTAGAACTATCATGTACTTTGTCGAATGTTCAAGTTCTTACTAGAAATAGGGTACGCTGGTATATATAAGAGGGGAAAACGTGACGCGGTAAGGTAATGTGTGTGTAGATAGTGGGTAATTGAACTGCAGTCACACGGTATTGTTGAAGTTAACGTTCGTTCGTTACAGTGTTGTTTTAGCGCGAGTATTGAGATTAAGTGTATCGCAGAGTTATATTCGGAAAGAATAAACCAGTTTTATTAAGTAAAGACTTGTGTCGTTAAAGTTTTGTTGGAACGAAGTTACGGAAAAATCAATTAACAAACGGAGACGTAACAATATAAACAAAATAAGTTATTTATTTACGGAAGAACTGTATGTGAAAAGCTAAAATTTTAAATTTGGGAGGAACAGAAATGTATAAGGAAACAAGTTAGTTTACTTTATTCATTAAGAATTGAACTATTACTGATAATTGTCACAAACTAACAACTTGCTTGCTGTTCCAAAAGTTATTAAATATAATTTTGCCATCCGCCTTTTTTGAAAGTTGTAAGAGATCGAACTAAAAACAAAAGTTGATCTATGAAGTATATAGAAAATCGTTTTGTTGTAATAATTTGTTCATAGCCACTGAAAAAGTCTGTGCATGTAGTAAATACTAAACAGAAGGAAAGTATACTATTGTTGCGTCATCGAGATCATGTGATTCTCACGCCCTCTAGTTTCTAGAACTATCTTGTTTCTTCATGAATGCTCTAGTATTTACTAGATGGGGTAGGCGGGTATATATAAGAGGGGGACAACGTGACGCGGGGAGGTAATGTAATGTGTGTGTAGACAGTGAGTAATTGATCTGCAGTCAGAAGTATTATTGAGCACGTTCGTTGTTATAGCGTTTGTTTAGCGCGATTGTTGAAGTTGAGTGTATCGGTAAAGTTACATTCGGAAAGAATAAACCAGTTTTATTAAGTAAAGAACTTGTGTCGCTAAAGTTTCGTCGGAACGAAGTTACGGAAAGTTAATTAACAAACGGAGACGTAACACTATACTAAATATTTCATTACTTAATTTTATAAATGTACACATTAAATTTATTCTGTTATCAAAGTGAGAATTTCATCGAATCATACAGCAGCTTTAAGAGGAATAAATAAAGGTTCAAATTACAACAAAAACTTGCCTCTCTTGTGTTTTTCTAATTTCAACCCTCATAGTATCTTTATCCTCTTTGGTATAGTATGAAAATGCATTAAGTAATACTTATAGAATTAAATGAAATGAAATATTTTTTACAGATTTTGTTTTTGTTTGTTTGTTTTTTTTGAATTTCGCGCAAAGCTACACGAGGGCTATCTGCGCTAGCCGTCCCTAATTTAGCAGTGTAAGACTAGAGGGAAGGCAGCTAGTCATCACCACCCACCGCCAACTCTTGGG